ATGAAGTGCAAAGGCAGTTACTCACGGATCATCACCCCTTTTGCGCCATGACTTCTTCGGCGTTACTCCTGTAAGCCGCTTGCGAGTCATCATGGGAGGAGTTCGTGGCCTCGGAGGTTCAGGTGCTGCTTCTTCTATGCCGGTGGCCTGTTCGATGACCTCTTGCTGGTCGAGGACGGGCTGGTCGACAATGGGCTGGTCGACGATGACGGGCTGCTTGACAACGGCGGGCTGCTCTATGGGTTGCTCGACGACGATGTGCTGCTGGACGACGACGCGTTGCTCTATGGGCTGCTCGACGACGATGGACTGCTCGACGACGATGGACTGCTCGACGACGACGGTGACGACGGGCTGGTCGGCGACGACGGGCTGGTCGGCGACGACGGGCTGGTTGACAACGACGGGCTGCTTGACGACGGCGGGCTGCTCTATGGGTTTCTCGACGATGATGTGCTGCTCTTGAACGACGACGGGCTGCTCTATGGGTTGCTCGACATGATGTGCTGCTCTTGAACGACGGCGGGCTGCTCGACGTCATCCCGGACGATGGACTGATGGACGACGGACTGCTTGATGACGGCGGGCTGCTCTATGGGTTTCTCGACGACGATGTGCTGCTCTTGAACGACGGCGGGCTGCTCGACGACGACGGGTTGCTTGACGACGACGGGCTGCTCTATGGGTTGCTCGACGATGATGTGCTGCTCTTGAACGACGGCGGGCTGCTCGACGTCATCCCGGACGATGGACTGATGGACGACGGACTGCTTGATGACGGCGGGCTGCTCTATGGGTTTCTCGACGACGATGTGCTGCTCTTGAACGACGGCGGGCTGCTTGACGACGACGGGTTGCTTGACGACGACGGGCTGCTCTATGGGCTGCTCGACGACGATGGACTGGTCGACGACGACGGGCTGCTCTATGGGTTGCTCGACGACGATGTGCTGGTCAACTACGGCGGGCTGCTCGACGTCATCCCGGACGATGGACTGGTGGACGACGGACTGCTCGACCCCGCGCCAGACGACGCCCTCGTGCTGGTCGGGGTTTTCGAGGCGATCGCGGCGGTCGACGTCCGGCTGATCGACAACCTCGTTGAGCGTGCGCAAGGCGGGCGCCACGACGGTCTCCGTGTCTTGTCCTAGCGCAAATGTGAGCGCATCCAAATCGTTGGCTCCGTCGTTGAATGCAGCTGGGCCACCGGCATCTATGTCGGCGAGATTAGCTACAATCTTCACAGAGGCTAGAGCGCGGGAGAGGCGAGCATGGAAGATGTGGGCCGGCAGTGTCCAGGCTAACATCGACGATGAGGGAGGCACTGGTACACGAAAGGGACAACGTACGCTGAGAGACCTCGCCATGGTCGATGGCAGGGATGACGCCTGGTGGAGGGGGTGCTTCTAGGTCGGATAGCGGCAGAACAATCAGGTGGAGTTCGCATACATGGAGGGATGCCTACACTCACCAAACGTGTGACCCCGCGCCTCCTCGTTCGTCGCGGTGTCCTCCGCGCGCGCGTGCACTGAAGACACAATGTTGATAGTCGGGCGACGGGATAGGACTGCGTACACGTACTCTGCTGCCGAACATCGCCATCGCTTTCAACCCGCGCGACGATATCACTGTCTGCCAGCCTGTCAGTCACCAAAATGGCCCCGTTTTGCACCGCTGTGTACACTATAAGCTACTGGCCAGAAAGGGGACAATTTCTGAACTCACTGTTGTGCAAGTTCATTGAGAAACCCGCAGCGATGAAATCGAGCTCATCTGGAAGATATGACTTGGCGTCCATCAGGGTCTTCCAGAAGGTCCGTCCTTGAGAGTCATGACCCGTGCTCAACCTGGAAGGGAAGTAAGTCTATGAACGAGGCACGAATACGTCACTCACCATATGGTATGAGGTTGCCCCTTGGGTAGCCCCGTCGCCATTATGTTCAGGTCGTAATTCGTTTCACGTTTGACGTATGCACAGATCGCCTCCAAGAACTCCGCGAGCAGTTCTGACTGCCTGCAGGCGAAAATGAGTGCGACATATTATCGTGCAATCCATACGCACCTGTAAAGCCTATCCGAATCCGGTGGCTCCACAGCTGCCTGAAGAGCTTGCTCCTTCAGGGACCTGGCCTGCTGTTCGTAGACCTCCCTGACCTCGTCGCTGAGCTGATTCCAGCGTTCTGTGGCGTTCTTCATCATTACACCGGGGTTGCTCTTCTTGCCTTTGGTTTTATCCGCGGCGGTGCAGTCGTCACCAGGCGCGTCGTCGATGGGAACGGCCGAGGGGCAGCAGACGATCCGACGGCGTCCGTACCGATGTTTCCAGGGTTCGTAAAGGCGCCGCTGTCTTGATCCCTCATCCAGAGGTGCTTCGCAGTCGGGAAGGTGATCTTTGGCATGAGGGGCGGAAACTCAGGGAAGATGGGCTTCGGCGCATCGGACGCATTGGACTTGCGAGCCGTAGCCCGAAGGATTTTCGCCCGCTCCTTGAAGTACTAGAGGTTCGATTTAGCACAGAAGGCGTCGTATTGACTGGCTAAGTACGCACCTGTTTGATAGCTGTCATCGAAGGCTGCGGGTTGGTCGAAGTCGCCGTGTCCTTGGATGCTCCTCCTGCATCCGCGACCGAGCTTGCGAGATCGGCAGCATCTGCATCCGTGCTCAATAGGGGTGATCGCCTCTGCATACGGAAGCGCGACGTACCATTGGGTGCCACCGGGTCACCAGCCCCGCTCCATGAATCATCCGCTCCATGGGGAACGTCGTGCTCCTTTTTGTATCTCAATGAAAGATACATCTCGACGGCTTGAAGAATGGTGACCGTTTCGGAGGGCGTTTCTTCCACGTCTTCGGGCTCCAGAAACTTTTTGGGCTCAATCTTGTTGTCGGCATGTCGCAGGAGCATTTGGACTTTCGGGAGCTTGATAGCTTCGTCGGCCCACTTTTGGACCGAGCGTCCGACAGCGGGAGGTCGTCCTTTCGTCTTGGGGGCGGCGTTCTTCTTTTTTCCCATGGTGAGAGTTGGGGATAGTGGTAAAGGAGCGAGAAAATCGGCCGCGCAGACGACGCGCGCTTGACCAGTGGCGCTGCCACGAGGTCTCTGGGGGCGCCAAAGGCAACTAGCATTGGGAGGACTACGTAGAACAGCATAGAGGCTAGAGGGGGGCATGGGGAATGGGAGGAACAGGAAGCCTACCGAACCGCGCGACGAACTGAGAGACATACAACCGGACGACCTCACGCTGGACGAGATCAAAGTCCTCCGAGCGCCAGTCGTCCACACGCCTCATCGCGCGAGTTCTCGCTACAACCGGGCCACTGGCAGACTACTGCTAGGAACGACGAAGATGGGGCGTTGCCTCATCCCATCAGCATCGAGCGAAGATGGCCAGAAAATTTGTCTCTGGAGGGGTCCGGAACGACGCTCGAGACGGACGAGTCCTCCCCCCAGATTCCCGACAAGAACGCTTCGCGCCCCATCACTCCATGACCGACATCCTGCCGCGCGGCACGAGCGCGGCGTCCAAGGCATTGAGCTCGCAGCGGAAGTTCACCTCGTGACACTCCCACAACAGGAACCGACGGATGCGCAGATCGGACGCCGCCGACTCCGCGGAGACAGCTACGCTTTCCAGACGCTCCTCGGTCGCGGGGCTGTAGGAGCTGAGAGCGGCGCCGTTTCCAAACAACCGCGCACACCGTTCTTGTGCTCGATCTTGCGCTTGAGGCGTCGGTCGGAACTGTCTTCAGGGGTGGGTTTCTCCTGGTAATCGCCCCACAGCGCGGCTCGCCACTCGGCGATCGTGAGAGGCTGACCGGACACGACCGGATCGAGCAGACGCAGCTTGCAGAAGTTGCGAATGCGGACCGCGTTGTGAAGGTATTGGTGGACCTTCGCGTCCCGGACGAAGTCGCGATCGTCCGTGTCAGCTGGGGCGGGAGAGAGATCGGAAACGGTGTCCAAAAGGAAGGGTGGGGGAAAAAGTAGTGAACTGAATGGCAGGGCTGGGGAAGGGGGCTGACTGCGTCCAGCGCGGCGACCCAAGGGTCTGGCACGGCGACGAAGGCCGGAGGGGTGAAACATCTGGAGGGGTGGCGCTCCTCAGGCGACAGAGCGCCGAGGGTCGACGGGCCGGCCTGTGTTCCATCGACCGAAGGCGGGGAAGGCTTGTTCGAACGTCTGCCACCTCTTCTGGTGCGCTTCTTCGTTCCGTCGGGCTTGAATCGCGGGGGCGCTTGGGACTGAACTTCTGTCAACTCGAGGCGGGTGGACTTGAAAGGAGGTTGGGCCCCTTCTGCGGCTCCTTCTTCCATGACGCCCAAACGGCTGGTACAGAGCTGGCCGGTGATGGCGAATACCATATTCTCCACCCAGCTGCTGGTCAAGTTGGCAACAGCACCTAGCTGGTCTGGGTGGTGATGCATGGGCGGGTCGCTCTCCTTAGACGCGAGGAAGAACGGACTCGTGCTTTCGACGACACACCAGATCTTGAGATGACGCGTGAGGGGTTGCAGGAACCACACGGGCATTCCGATCCTGGTCGCCAGCTGGACCGTCGCTCCGTCGCGGCCGAAAACTCCGAGGACCGGCAGGAGCGAGGTGCTAAAGTCCTCCGTAGAGTCGATTCGTGGGAGGACGTCGTGCAGGTAGGTGCGAAGACCTAGGAGTTCCAGAGCCACGCGCTGGAGATGGGCGCCTACAGCAACAGCAACGGAAGCAAAACTCGGCAGACGGTTCATGCGATCGAGGCACTGTGCGATCACTAGACACAGTTGATCGCCGTACGATCGGAGATGCGGGGTAAGATCTCGGAGCTGTTGGAAAGCTGCTGTCGCGAACTGGGCGCCCCTCGTGAGGTTGCGTCGCAGCTCAGGATCGAGGAAGCCAAGCCCTGGGTAACCGACCGAAGCATCCTCCGACCAATCGCGCGAGGGGAGCAAAGCCAGCCAGAGTATCGAAGGGAGGCCAGGTTGAGGATGGCGGGCGAGGGGATACATGCGATGTGCCACATGTTTCGGATCAAAGGCTGCGGCCAACGGGAGTATTCGTGTTCGCCCCACAGCCCGTCTTGATACGTGCGGACCACAGTGCGCTCTACCGGATGCGAAGGGATCCAATCTTGGTTGGGCGAGGTCAGAACCATCGAGGTGAAACGATCCTTAGAAGCCGCCTTGGCGTCGAAGGGCGCAGCGACATCCGGACCTACGCATCGTCAGTATGGCCACGTTAAGAATGACGCGTAGCACTGACAAGGGTGCGTTTGGTTGACCCGAAGCATCGCGTTTAGCGCACTCCGGTTGAAGTGCACCCTTGAACATCCTTGGGGCTAGGGGAACATGACGGGCGGTGGTTTGGCGGGGGCGAGTGTGGTCAAGGGCATTTTGGTGGGAATCTGCGGCGAGAAAAAGTGAGTGGAAGTGCCGCACAGCGTGCCAATGGCAAACTCGCGGGGCGGCGCACAGCAAGCAAAGCACTCGCAGCACACACCCGCACCGATATCAGAGGCCAGCATGGCACTATCCTCCGAACATCGATGACGACAACGAGGCAGACGGCGCACGCCAGCATGAACTAGCGGCGCACGTCCGGGCTGAGACGGAGCCAGGCGCGTCGCCCAGCATCACATCTCTTCCCAAAGAAAGGGGACAACCGACAACTTACCTTGAGGGGGAGGGACGATCTACGGTTGGAAAGCGGAGGCGACGTGGGCTGCTGAACGCCAAGAGACGGGCGCTCCGCCCGGTCATTTCCGGGGCCGGCGTCTGTGCACTTGCGCCACGACGGCGACGAACGGGTTCATTCCCGCGCCCGTCTGTGCACATAGGGCTTACCTAGGGGCCGCGCCGTGCACTTGCGCTCCGACGGCGACGAACGGGTTAATTCCCGCGCCCGTCTGTGCACATAGGGCTTACCTAGGGGCCGCGCCGTGCACTTGCGCCCCGACGGCGACGAACGGGTTAATTCCCGCGCCCGTCTGTGGACACAGGGCTTAGGGGCCGCGCCGTGTACTTGCGCCACGACGGCGCTCGTCTGTGCACGCGGGCCTTGAGCGCCACAGTTTCGTTAGGGCTCTGGTGCGTGTACTCCATGACCCGCACGACGTTGAATGTTCATGGGATCTTGCGTACGACGGATGATAGTGCAGGAGCGGCTGGCGGGTTGAACATATGGCGAGTTTAAATAGCCTGTAATGTGCTCGATCGTAAATGGAAAGATATCCTGATGAACTGGCGCTAAAAAAAGCGCGCGTGGCGGACTCCTCGTCCCCTACGCGCGACGACCGTGCACCCCCGCCCCCGACCCGTGTCCCCCGCCCACCATGGCCAAGCCGAAACTGTCCCGGTACAACCCATCAACATGCTGTCCCCGCGTTCGCGGAAGGAGAAGCGCGCGCCCGCTTCTGGGACGGGCGACCCGTTGCCATCCCTCGCCCCCCTGCCAGCTGCCTTCCCTTTGCCCACCGCCCCGGTACTGGTCCCTCAATGCCCCCAAATCTCCTCGCACTCTTCATCCAGAGTTCTCTACGCCGCCGCTTTTCCCCCTACCTCCGTCCTCTTCTACGTCACCGTCCAACGCCCGCGCAACCGTGGCGACGGAGAGCCCTTCGCTCTCGGGTGAAAACCAGACTGAAGACCCGACGCTCGAATCTACACAAGTCTCATTAGAGATGGACGCCGCGACTGCGGTCGAGCACGCTTCGGACGACGAGGGGGAAGACGAGGAGACAGACGATGATGAAGAGCAGCGAGGGTCGGATGGCCAGCCGAAGAAAGCTAAGGCCAATAACACCATAGTGAGTCCCTTGATCGTGTTTACGAGCACCCATTGACGCGCGTCTTCAGAAACCTCACCAGTACACGAGGGCGTTCGAAGGGTGTGCACCGTTTGCCGCGAAGGAGATGCTCAGGCGACACAAGTGGCCTCTGCCCACCGACGAATGCTGGGGATGTCAAATAATCGGTCGTCCGCCGACCATCCTCAGTGACCTCAACCAACGGTACAAATGCGAGGTGTGTCTAGCGCAGCCAGACCTATGTCGCCCATGCATGCGCCTTTTCCACCAGTTCATGTTCACCCACGCCATCGTTCGATGGTCTCCCTCCGACGAGACCTGGATACCGAGCTCGTTGCAAGAGGCCACGGGTGAGGTGATCGTTTTAGGTCATCCCAATGGGAAACCATGCCGCAACCACACGTCCAGTGACGCCCCGGTGACGATAGTGCACGAAGGAGGTGCTAGTACATCGGTGAAGGTCAAATATTGCTTGTGAGTTTTCTGTCCAGCTCGAAGGCGTCATCTCAAGTTCTGTCCACCAACAGGTGCGCCCACGACCACGCCTCAATGGCGAAGCACCGTGCGTCTTTGGCGCTGCGCGGCGGGCTTTGGGCGGGCACCTGGGGAGACGCTAGTCCCAGAACGTTGTACTCCCTCAACCTCCTGCACACCTTGGACGCCAGGCTGAAGATAGCTCAGACGAGCATGCATGACGAGTTCGGAGTCCTACGATATCTGACGGACCCTGTGAACCCCATGGGCGTGAAGGTGAGAACTTAGACAGGAAACGCTGGAGAAGGACTCATAAGCCGTGCAGGACCGTGAACGCCAACTCACACGAACCATGCGAGACTTCGGATACGTCAAGGACTGTCTGGACCATGGAGTGATCCCCCTAAGGCTGTTTGCGGCTCGATCCACGGATGATCCGGATCCGAACCCACGGATCAGGTGACTTCCGGGGGCTTGATCCAGATCCGCATGGATCAGAGCCGCTGGAAGAGCCGGAGCCGCGGCTCCGACTCCGGCTCATCCGTGGATCCACCCACAGATCCACACATGTAATGTAGCTTTCAAAAGATATATTGATAGTATGTTTAAGCTAATGTACTATCAATACAGGCTAGGTGGGGACAAGGCGAAGGCGCGGTGGGGACGTGGGGATGCGTGGGGATGGGCGATGTGGACGAGAGAGGCGAGACGCGGGGGACGTGGTGGACCGTGACGTGGGCGCGACGTGTGTGCAAGGCGAGGGCGTGGAAGATGACGCGGGCGTGGGGGATGACGGGGTGACGTGGGCGCAAGGCGCGGGGGCGGGCGACATGGATGAGGGCGCGGACGAGGCTGTGGTCGGCGACGCAGAGAACGCGGGAGTTGTGGGGACCACGCGGGAGACATGGGGCAGGTTGGTGACGTGGGCGACACTGGAGTAGGAAGGCGAGGTGAGTGTGAGTGACACGGGCGAAGTGTGCCACGGGTGAGGTAGTGGGTGATGCGGGAAATGCTGGCGATGCGGGCGCGAGGCGTGCGGGCAAGGGTGGGCGACGCGCGGGCAGGTGGGTGTCATGGACAACACGGGAATGGTAGACGGGCGACGCAGACGAGGGGGTACGGGTGAGGGTGAGACGCGGTTGACGCGGGGGGCAAGGGGTGTGGCGCGGGCGACGCGAGAGGGCGGAGGCGTGGACGATGCAGACGCCGTGGGTGGGCGACGCGGGAGATGCGGAGGCAAGAGGGCGTAGAGGGTGACGGGGCGAGGTGGCGAGCAACGTGGGCAAGGGCGAGGGTAAGGGCGAGGGAGGGGGTCAGCGGAGGTTGGGGATGCAGGGAGCAAAGGGGTAGGGGAGTGCTGACCTAGGGAGATCGGAACCGCGGGAGCTCACCGCTATCCCACAGAACGGCCGCGCGGGAGCGCGATGATGCCGTGTGGATGGAGGATCGGGTGACGAGGGGCAGATGGGGGACAGGACGCGATGCGTGGGGCTGCGAGTGCGGGCGACGGCGTGATGGGCGACACAGGCAAGGTGTGCGACGCGGGCGATGGCGATGCGGAGAGGATGAGGGCGATGTGAGGGCGGTGCAGGTGAGTTCGCCAGACGAGGGCTGCGTGGACGAGGGCGTGGCGGGCGACGCGGGGGCGAGACGAAGGCGCAGTGGGTGAGACGCGGGGGCAGGCAACGCGGACGAAGGAGACGAGACGAGGAAGAAGAGACGAGGAAGACACGGGGTCGACGCGGGAGACGCAGGGAAGCGGGTGAGGGCGAGACGGCCAAGGCGGGCCAACTGGGTGGGCAACACGGGCGAGGACGAGGTGGGGAGGGCGGAGGCTGGGCAGAGAGGACAAGGACAAGGACGGGGGGCGAGGGTCGTCCAGGGAGCGGGTCGGCGGGGGTTGCCAGCGCGAGGGAGGGGGAGGGGGAGACCACGTGGGCAGCAGAGAGGGCGGGGGAGTACTCACCGGGGGATATTGGGGCCAGGGGAGCCACCGCGACCCCACAGAACGGCCGCGCGCGCGAGCGCGATGATGCCGTGTGGGCAGAGGAACGTGTGGCAGGCGGGGGACGTGGGGGACGGGGCGAGGGCAGGGGCGATGCGGGCGAGGGCGACGCGGGTGAGACGCATGGCGCGGGCGAGACGGGAGACGTGTGGCGCTGAGGACGACGCGGATGTGGTGGTGGGCGACACAAGGCGGATAGGACGCGGTGGAGGAGGGGAACGGCAGCGCGGGCGGAGAATGACGCGAGGCGGAGGAGGCAGAGGGTGAGGCGCGGCACGAGGCGGAGGCGGAGGACGAGGGCGAGGCGGGGAAAAGGTGGGGATCGGACAAGGGAAACGCGGGGGTGAGCGCGAGACGAGCAAGGACGCGGGAAAACTCACCAGAGGAGATCGGGGCCGCGGGAGCTCACCGCGACCCCACGGTACAGCCCCTGGGCTTGAGGACGGCCGCGCGCGCTCACGCGATGACGCCGTGCGGACGGAGGGTGGAAGGCAAGCGGAGGAGGAGTGAGGAGAGGAGGCGGGATGACGGCGAGCAAGTGACGCGCGAAACCCGCGTTCGATTCCGAACATTGCCCGATCGGGATGGATTCCCGCGTGCAGACGCCGGATGCAGGCGCCAAAAGCTCTCAAAATGACAGACAATAGTATTGTATAAATATCTCAGTCACTTTTGAACCAATTCACACATAGGTTATATCGTTAGAAAGCTGCTTCAAATGGCTTTCGAATGACATATCTTTGATAGTATAAATACACATATTTTGCGAGAATCTGCGGATAACCCGTGGATCGAGCCGCAGATCCGCCAATTTTCAGCCCCCTTGATCCGGAGCCGCTGAGAGCCGGAGCCAGAGAGAGCTGGAGCCGCCCGGCTCATGATCCCCGGCTCACGGCTCCGGATCAAGGGGGCTGAAAATTGGCGGATCTGCGGCTCGATCCACGGGTTATCCGCAGATTCTCGCAAAATATGTGTATTTATACTATCAAAGATATGTCATTCGAAAGCCATTTGAAGCAGCTTTCTAACGATATAACCTATGTGTGAATTGGTTCAAAAGTGACTGAGATATTTATACAATACTATTGTCTGTCATTTTGAGAGCTTTTGGCGCCTGCATCCGGCGTCTGCACGCGGGAATCCATCCCGATCGGGCAATGTTCGGAATCGAACGCGGGTTTCGCGCGTCACTTGCTCGCCGTCATCCCGCCTCCTCTCCTCACTCCTCCTCCGCTTGCCTTCCACCCTCCGTCCGCACGGCGTCATCGCGTGAGCGCGCGCGGCCGTCCTCAAGCCCAGGGGCTGTACCGTGGGGTCGCGGTGAGCTCCCGCGGCCCCGATCTCCTCTGGTGAGTTTTCCCGCGTCCTTGCTCGTCTCGCGCTCACCCCCGCGTTTCCCTTGTCCGATCCCCCACCTTTTCCCCGCCTCGCCCTCGTCCTCCGCCTCCGCCTCGTGCCGCGCCTCACCCTCTGCCTCCTCCGCCTCGCGTCATTCTCCGCCCGCGCTGCCGTTCCCCTCCTCCACCGCGTCCTATCCGCCTTGTGTCGCCCACCACCACATCCGCGTCGTCCTCAGCGCCACACGTCTCCCGTCTCGCCCGCGCCATGCGTCTCACCCGCGTCGCCCTCGCCCGCATCGCCCCTGCCCTCGCCCCGTCCCCCACGTCCCCCGCCTGCCACACGTTCCTCTGCCCACACGGCATCATCGCGCTCGCGCGCGCGGCCGTTCTGTGGGGTCGCGGTGGCTCCCCTGGCCCCAATATCCCCCGGTGAGTACTCCCCCGCCCTCTCTGCTGCCCACGTGGTCTCCCCCTCCCCCTCCCTCGCGCTGGCAACCCCCGCCGACCCGCTCCCTGGACGACCCTCGCCCCCCGTCCTTGTCCTTGTCCTCTCTGCCCAGCCTCCGCCCTCCCCACCTCGTCCTCGCCCGTGTTGCCCACCCAGTTGGCCCGCCTTGGCCGTCTCGCCCTCACCCGCTTCCCTGCGTCTCCCGCGTCGACCCCGTGTCTTCCTCGTCTCTTCTTCCTCGTCTCGTCTCCTTCGTCCGCGTTGCCTGCCCCCGCGTCTCACCCACTGCGCCTTCGTCTCGCCCCCGCGTCGCCCGCCACGCCCTCGTCCACGCAGCCCTCGTCTGGCGAACTCACCTGCACCGCCCTCACATCGCCCTCATCCTCTCCGCATCGCCATCGCCCGCGTCGCACACCTTGCCTGTGTCGCCCATCACGCCGTCGCCCGCACTCGCAGCCCCACGCATCGCGTCCTGTCCCCCATCTGCCCCTCGTCACCCGATCCTCCATCCACACGGCATCATCGCGCTCCCGCGCGGCCGTTCTGTGGGATAGCGGTGAGCTCCCGCGGTTCCGATCTCCCTAGGTCAGCACTCCCCTACCCCTTTGCTCCCTGCATCCCCCAACCTCCGCTGACCCCCTCCCTCGCCCTTACCCTCGCCCTTGCCCACGTTGCTCGCCACCTCGCCCCGTCACCCTCTACGCCCTCTTGCCTCCGCATCTCCCGCGTCGCCCACCCACGGCGTCTGCATCGTCCACGCCTCCGCCCTCTCGCGTCGCCCGCGCCACACCCCTTGCCCCCCGCGTCAACCGCGTCTCACCCTCACCCGTACCCCCTCGTCTGCGTCGCCCGTCTACCATTCCCGTGTTGTCCATGACACCCACCTGCCCGCGCGTCGCCCACCCTTGCCCGCACGCCTCGCGCCCGCATCGCCAGCATTTCCCGCATCACCCACTACCTCACCCGTGGCACACTTCGCCCGTGTCACTCACACTCACCTCGCCTTCCTACTCCAGTGTCGCCCACGTCACCAACCTGCCCCATGTCTCCCGCGTGGTCCCCACAACTCCCGCGTTCTCTGCGTCGCCGACCACAGCCTCGTCCGCGCCCTCATCCATGTCGCCCGCCCCCGCGCCTTGCGCCCACGTCACCCCCGTCATCCCCCACGCCCGCGTCATCTTCCACGCCCTCGCCTTGCACACACGTCGCGCCCACGTCACGGTCCACCACGTCCCCCGCGTCTCGCCTCTCTCGTCCACATCGCCCATCCCCCACGCATCCCCCACGTCCCCCACCGCGCCTTCGCCTTGTCCCCACCTAGCCTGTATTGATAGTACATTAGCTTAAACATACTATCAATATATCTTTTGAAAGCTACATTACATGTGTGGATCTGTGGGTGGATCCACGGATGAGCCGGAGTCGGAGCCGCGGCTCCGCTCTTCCAGCGGCTCTGATCCATGCGGATCTGGATCAAGCCCCCGGAAGTCACCTGATCCGTGGGTTCGGATCCGGATCATCCGTGGATCGAGCCGCAAACAGCCTTACGACGAGTTGTACGTCACCGCGGATGGGAACTTCAGGCACCACACTCGGAACAAGGCGACGGACCACGAGGACTACAGCCTCTATGGAGACGCGGGATTCTTCGCTTCAGAACAGGGGTTGGAGGCGCATCTGAAGAAAGTGGGCAAGACGGACAAGGAAGTGCGTAGGCTGAGCGATCTGGGTGCGAAGCCATTCTGACCGCCCACATAGCCGTCGGATTGTCACACCTTCAAGGCGAGCGGATACAAGGGTCACTCAGGGCCAGTTACCGGGCTTGTCGCCGTCGTGTGTCGTCACGGCTTGGTAGTGGGCGGGAGCGTCGTCAATCTGGAAAAGGGCGAAAGGTGCGAGAAGCGTATCTGTAATGGGCAACGGTCCCTCAGGAGAAACACAGGTTCGCGATGGTGGACTACTCCATCATGTCGGCGGGGGGTCAGTTCAAGGACCTGAGGAAGTGGAAGCTGTGGTATGACGTCGGCTGCCAGTTCAGCATCAAGCTCGACGCACGCATCGAAGCCATGAAGATGTATGCATCCCAGATAACCCCAATCAAGTGGCTGTCGGAGCGCATCAGGCCGACGGTCATCGAGGTCGCCATTGGAGACTTCCACATACGCGCGCACAAGACGGAGTGCCATGTTTGTTACAACGGAAACCTGCGTGTGGGGGGCGCGCGCATGGCCGGAGAGATGTGCGAGCACGTTTGGGCGAGGATCAACATTGTTGCGAATCGTACGAAGGAGATGGGGCGGGCGAACAGGGCCGACACAACGCATCGCGCTCTGGATCACTTGAACATGGACAAGATCGTCCGCATGCGTGAGCGGTCTACTTACCCTTGACGGATGACGCGTTGACCATGAACACATTGACCGATCCTAGCTGAAGCCCTGCGGGGCTATTACCTCGTCGGGGCAAAGCGGTACGAAGAGGACAGGAAATACTTGGAGGGTATGGAGAAGAGTCTAGAAACGTCCCTCCGAGGTCTAGTCGGCACCTGGAGCACCGAACTCCGGACGTGGTACGAGAACATCGCCGACGTCAACGTGAAGGACAAAAGGAACGTCGCCACAAACCCCTTTGTACTGGACGCCACGTTAGGTGAGTGGCTGGCCTTGACCGGAATGCCCAAATCTGAACAACACGCAGATGTTGGCTTCGAGGGCATGACGGCACGTCTACGGGAAGGACAGGACCAGGAGCTGAAGGGCATTGGGACGACAGAGGCAGGAGGGATCACCGAGGCGATCGATGCGATGATCCGCCTCGAGAATGAGAAGTGAGTACTTTCCGCCCGGCTCGCCCGCTCATCACTGATCTTGAAAAATGCGGTAGGCGAGACCTCCTCGCCGCGCTGCAGGTGTTCGATCATCAGAGCCCCACCCATTGGAAGCAACACAAGCAAGATTTCGAAAACTTCCTCGTACAGTCTACAGAAGCATGGGAGAGCTACAACCGTCACATCACGCCCATCTTCCAGGTCGTCGCTGAGCAGTTACGCGCTGCGAACGCGAGCCCCGAGAGTCAATACCCTTGGGCGGACGACCCCTTGGAAGCGGAGCCGGAGATCGATCCCAAGAGCGTCGGGAGTCTCACCGTGCAGCGTTGGATACCAGAGATCCAGCAAGTGCGCATTGTCTTCCCATCAAGCTATCACTCCAAGATCAGGTCCGATCCGGCCATGGCAGCGGCAGTGGCGGTAGAGAGACGAATGCGAGAGGGCCAGGCGCGCGATGCACTGGCTGAGTATCGAGTGATTCTCGCCGGAGGGGTGTCCTGGAAACTGATGAGCTTGCAGATGATTGGGCACAAGAACCGTCAGATGAACACGAACGCAAAGCAAACTACCGAAACCCGTCTATCTCAAGAGCGCCGGCTGTTCAATCGCTACCAGCAGCTGCTCGTCAGGCTTGGCATGAAGATCGACCAGCAGCAGCAGCGCGACCTCAAGCTCGACGACCGCCTCGTTACGACACTCGGGCAACGACGGGCGGGCGACACGCACAAGGCCGGGGACTGGCTGTGGGGCGACGCGAAGTGGATCTTCGATATGAAGGACAAAGAACAAAGGACCTTCGTGCTGGCTAGTGAGTACCACGTTATCCTTTTGAGTGGGATCGTCCGTTACTAACGAAACGTAAGAATACAAGATTCATTGGTTTTTATCGCGATGCCAGATGGAGAGATGGAAAGAGGAGATGTTTTTGCGCTCCGAGGAGATGTTCCGGATGGTGATGATGTTAGAATACGAGATTGGCAAGTATGAACTTATCTCCGAGCGCGAGAAGGAGGAGGGGAGGAAGGGGGGTGCGGTGTTCTACAACCGGTGAGTTATCTTTGAAGTTATGACGTCACGGCTCATCTCGGGACGACAGGTGCAAATATGATCGCAAGCGCCTGCTAGACCGCACGAAGAAGACGTTTGAAGGCATCCCCTTCATGCAGGTGAGTGAAGTATGATGCCTCGTCATACGCCGATGTTGACTGGGGGCACAGACGATGGGCTTGGGCGCAGAAGCGAAGCATCCTGCGCCTGTTACCAAACCCTTGGTAGGGGAGCACTGTTCGCCGGCGTATCTTCTCTGACCTCACGCCGACAGAAGGGTAAGAAGGGCGGGAAGGGCAAGCAACGGTGCGAAGTAAGTGGCACAAAGCGCTCCCTTGATGACGTCCTTGACATATCTGCGCAGTAGGGCACTTGAAAACACCAAGGAGAGCCGCGATGGCCACGTGAGAAGTATGAAGGGAAGGATGAGGGAATGGCGGGCGGGGGGATGTATGGCTAGATTATACATCGCGGAATGTTATGGTAGATCTCAGGATGGGACGACACGGGACCATATAGAGAGGCCCTACGAAATAGTGACCTCAGGGCCTTCCTTTCGAGGAGGAGGAGGAGGTCGGTACCATCAGCTCAACCATCAGTGCCTCGAAACCGCCGGAATCGCGCCGTGAGACGAGACCTGCGGGCTCAGAGCGTCTGCGTGCAGAGGTAAACGCCCGTGCTTTCGCTCTGCCCGAAGGCCGACGCGGCGTCCTCACCTACTCCGCCATCTTCCATCCGCACTTCCAGGACGTGGCCAAAAGAATGACTTTCCAAATTAAACAACCTAAGGTACGTATCCACCCTGAACCGCTCCCGACAAAAGCTCACGAGGTGCGATTTCTGCGCGAAAATTGATGGCATAGGATGGAGAGAGCACCGATGGGCCGCTGGAACGCGACGCGACGCGTGGACCGGTCCCCATTTCGCCTCGCAACAACGACCGGAGCAGCATTCGCGAGATGTTTGAAGCTTATGGGAACGAGATGGTTCACGGAGAAGTCCATGTGGCATCCGACTGGACTTCAGGTAAGCTTTTCTCGAGGGAGAAGGTGACTTATTACTGAATGGCAGAGTGAACGCAGACGCATGCCCCAAGGGCACCAGGGGTCTCTGTGTCGGGAAAGGGCGAACAAACGGCGAAGCGAGCGAAGAATTCTGGGCGAGCTTTACACGAAGCTACGCACTGGACGTTCAGAGGAAGGGTCAAAGTGAGTATGAATCAATGCTCCATGGTACAGCCGACTGACATACCCTGTTCCTACCACGTCATAGAGTCAAAGGAAGCTGCCCTCCATCAAGCTCAGAAGCGACTGCAAAATTGGGTCGAGTACGGAACTCCGTTTTCGAAACGGCGCCGCGATGACGACGAGGGCGACGTCGAAGACGGGCCCGACGTCGAAGCGCGAGCGTTGAAACGACGCCGCGAACATCACGAGCGCAGTCAAGGCGGCTCGGAATCCCATGTCGAGACGGACGGAGAGGAGAAGATGGAGTGCGATGACTAGGAGAGGGCGGTTGGGACGGTGGATAGTCTCAAATGCCACAGGTGAGCTACGTCTGATAGCTAGTCGGGGGTCGCTGACGCCTCTGACTGTGTCTATGCGCGTTCGATCACCCAGCTCAGGGGTTCCAAAGGGTGCGACGAAGGAGGGAAGGAAGTACGGACCGAGGATAGGACCAGCTCGGAGGGAGGTAGCACGAATTGCCATGTCACACATGTGAGAAGACGTCATGAGCGCGTCCAGCTAGTGAATCGACGTCGGTATCGAGTAATCAAGAGCCACCACCGAGGCTCAGCGTAAGTCTGCCACAGCGGGCGCCCGACCCGCCTGAAATCGAAAGCACCCCGGCGAGCGCTCGCGCACTCCATCTAACCCACGTTGTCCCCGGGTTCTTACCTCCACCTCGTTGCTCATTCCCACATAGTATCTCATGAACGATGAAGTACCTCCTTGTTTTCAGCTGAACTACAAAACGGGGAACTGACTCGTGGTCGAGTAGATCCCCCAAGTATCTGACCAAAGCTCAACGTCACACGCCGGATGGACCAGGGAGCCTTGCCAGCCGGAGCTGCGTCTTAGACTGGCGTGGTTGAGGGCGCGCGCCCTCAGGAACCGATGGGCGGAGGATGTGGGGTTGGTACAATGTCGATTGGAGAGGCTGGAACGCGAGTTGGAGAGGATGGAAGACGAGTTGGAGAGGATGCGATCTGACAGGTCAGTGACCATGGGGGCTCACGCAGATCGAGTGTACTCGTGGGTTTCATGGACGTGGTCACTGACGCGTTTCCGGTAGGACCTGCGTGCATTCCGGCAGCTGAAGAATGGCGGACACTCGGGAGATGGGCACGCGTTCCGACAGCGGGGGAATGGAAGTGAGAGCACTCGGGGGGTGAGGGACCGGCACGCGTTCGGTATTAGACAATCGGATATCATTGGGCTTCCATTAGCACCTTGGTTCCCCTCTGTTCCTCAACAATGCATTTGTCGGAGTCCGCGCAAACGAGAAGGGGCGTAAAAAAGTGGTAAAATTTTCGGACGGGCGTCTGTTACTCGGGGCTCGACGGGCAAGCATGGCTCTGTCGTTCTAACACCTCCCTTCTCCCACTTCACTGGCAGCGGCCACCCACGGTAGCCTATCGATATGAACACGGAACGCGTCGCGTCGGATGTAAGTACCCACTTTCCAGGGCGCAGCCCCCGTAACACGTCGTGCGCGTATCTGAACTTCACTCTGGCCGTCAGGTGAAGAGGATTATCGATAGAAGCTACCGGGAACAACTGAGAGATTATCGATAGAAGCTACCGGGAACAACTTGCATACATCAGTGAGTTTGTCTACCATTGGGTTCATACAGACAAGTGACCTGAGATGGCAGCATGCGACGGGAACTTTCAAATGTGCCCTGGCCGGGGTAGGGCGAGGGACGCCCTGTATAGGCGCTGGGGTGTCTTTGTGATCGAGAATGAAGGTGCGGGTACCTATTCACGCATCCACCGCCCCTCCGTGACTGATAGGAGATCCCGTGCACGTAGACCTCAGGGCGGAAGACCGGGGTGGCGATCAAGACAGCGTGCTGTTGGCGGCGGCGATGGGCCAGCAGATTCCCCTGCCGTGCAGGAAGGACCGAACTTGAACGACGTCCAGGAGAGCGCTGTATGCGATCTGGAACGACATGGCGGGGTGAGTCCTGTGCGCGAGGAGCGTGTTGCGGTGCGGGTAGAGGATAAAGCGCGGCATGTCGAGTAGGGAGGGTGGAGCCGCCTCAGTACAGGTTTGCACAAATCGCTGTTAGAGCGCCCCACAACTATGCGTATGATACATCGCGCTATTGCCTGTCAATCCTGAAGACCAGATGGACGCGTATGGAATAAGAGATCTGTCCGTTTCCGAAGAGAGGGGGCCTACAACATCTCGCGTACATACCGAGTGTGTGACAGTATCGTCAGGACTTCGGCCGTTGGTTCAAGAGACTGCGACGGACGAAGCTGTGAAGCGTCTCGCGAGGCGAGTATGCAAACTTGTATGTGTTCCACTGAATACCCCAGTTCCACTGACACATTTCAAATTAGAGCACTGTGCTACCACCCTCTCCTGCCTCCTCTGCCTATCTACGCTTCCCGCCCGACTACACTATGGGAGTAGGACCCCGGGCCGGGTCAACGCTGGAGTAAGACGCCGGTAGGTTGCCGGAATAAACGCCGAGCGCTCGGCCCGCAACTGAACGCCGCGACGGATCACGGAATCAGGAGTCAAGCGGTGCCCTGCGGACATCGCCGAAGACACCGAGGCCTGGCCAAACAGTAAGTAGCGTCGTCCTTGGGAGCGTCGTCCTTGGGAGATGTCGTCAACTCATATGAGCAAGGATTATTTTCAGGAATTAAAGAGCTTGGAAAACCGAAACGCCAGGAAGTACCACTCAAGCGGGCCTTGCGAACGAGGCCAAAGGCGATCGAGGTGAGGAACGACCAGAGACGCTACGCATCGCGAGACGCAACGCACCTTGTGAGCACGCGTGCGATATCACAAGCGCGAGAAGCTAATCGAACGTTCAGCGCCCCGCTCCACGCTCCCGCGTTTGCCACATCCTCGCCCTCCATCCACTGTCGTCTGTCGGCGGCCTCTCACTCTCGAACACATCCAGAAAGCCGACGATCAACATTGTGGTCCGTTGCCGAGTGCTCGGTGAGTGTCTCGCTACGTCGTGCGACACTCTACGAGCGTCTCACCATTCGTCTGTCTTCGCCGCCTCTCCTCTGCCCTCCTCTCCTCTCCTCGCCGCTCCCTCTCTCACCTCTTCTTTCTGCCCCAACCAAAGCACTCCTCTATACAACCAGATTACCACCGCGTTGGTGACGCCGGTGGTGACGCCCTGCCGCCCGCGCACGTCTCACGCGTGTGCCAACACAGGTGAGCTTCTTCTTCCTTTTCGCGCTGGGTCCTCAACTCACCATCCCCCTGCCATCCACTCACCACGCCCACCGCGACTGTCGCTACGCTGCCCGCGCTCGTGCCCCGGTCGTGACGCCCTACCGCCCGCGCACATCTGACGCGCGTGCCAACTCAGGTGAGTACACCGTTCTTGCTCCTCGCGCCGAGTCCTCAAGAGACCATCCCCCAATCCCTTCGACCTCGATGGCCGCCACCCACACCGCTGCAACACTCTCCTTCGTTCTCGCGACCAGGACGCACTCCCACCTACAACACACCCTCCACCACCCGCGCTCGTGCCCCGTTCTCGCGTGCGTCCCACCCGCGTGGCAGCTCAGGTGAGTTTTTCCATATTCTTCTTCGCGCTTGGTCCTCAACAGGCCTTACCCTTCCCCCTCCTCTGCCGCCGCAACCGCCGCACATCGCACACCCGGTCCTATTTCGCGATCGTGCGCCGCCGCTATCACGTCCGGCCGCGCCCGCGTCCCACCCGCGTGGCAACCCAGGTGAGTTTCTCGCCGCTCGTCTTCGCGCTCCGCATCACCCACGCTCTCTGACGCACCCTCCCCACGTCTCACCCGCTATCACGCACGCTCGTCCCGTCCTCTGCCACCACGCGCGCTCGCACCCCGTACCGTCGACCTACTCTCCCAGCCCCCCTCGCTGGCTCTTCTGTCTCACGGACTCGCCCACCATGCCGCCCATGAGTATGAGACATCGCAACGTGGGTGTTTATATCCTTCCACTTATGCGTTTTCTGACGATTTCAACCATCACGCGCAGACGTTGGACCAGATTATGCGGGGTACGCACAAGCCAACGGAGGTCTCAGTAGTTTGTGAGGTACGTACTTCGGCCTTATTGCCACGACGATGCGCTTACATGCGCTCTTTAGGCCATTGAGATAGGTCTTGGAGGTCGCATCAAGGTGAAGTCGAACAAGGGCGGGAGCCTGACCTTCCCCGATGGCAGGTGTAGGTTCCTACATCGGACGGACGTGGCGTGGGGCTGGCACCCGGTAAGTCAAATCCTATTACACGCGTGAGGGCAAGCTGACGGGGCGTTGCAGAAACATGGGACTGAGGGGAAAGGAAAGACGGGCAAGAAGCAGCCGGGTAACGGGAAGATGTTCAAAAAGGACCTAGTGGCCGCGTGAGTGCTTTTCCTGTTTTCTATGCGCCTGTTACTTACCATGCCGCACAGGTTGGGGCGCAAACTCGTCCGCGCCCTTGAGCTGGACGACGTCCAAGACGGGTTCAACGTCCGGAAGTGGAACCGAATCTGCGCTCGCGACTGGCAGCGCCCTTCGTAGAGGGTCGTAGATGGCGTAGTAATGATTTGTTTCGTAGAATACATCATACTATTCGTGCTCTTGCAACCACGCGCCGGCGGCCCGTGAAACGCCTCTCCGAGAAAACCGGGAAGTGATCGACCCGCACGTCATCCAGGCACTGTGGGGGTGGCTGTGGTCGAGGAACGCCTCCGCGCGCGGTCCTTGGGCCTTCCGTCTCATTCGGCCATCCCTGCCTACGCGTAACGCAGCGACCGTGAGGTGCGAACTCACCGTGTCCGGGTTCATTCTCACACCCATGAACGTCGACGCGCAGATCAGGCACCGACGCCCGGGCTCTCCCTCGCCTCCTCTGAACTCGCAACGTCGCGTGGCTCCATTCTCAACAACTCACGTCAACTCGTGGTCCGTCGACCGCCCGACCACGCCACGCGCCTCTACCCGGCTCCCATCGATCTCGTCCCCGCGCACGTCGTCCATCCCGACTGGCACCGCCGTTACCGCGTTGACCCCACCATCGATACAGCAACGTTCGCCTTCGTCCTAGGTCCCTCCCATCCCGTTCTCCTCGTGCACCGCGCGTTCCACCTATCGACTTCTCCTCGCGTCAGGTCTGACATTGACCGCTGTGGACTCTGCAGCTCGCGAAGGCGGCCCCGCGCCTGAGCTCGTTCACTCGCACCTGCATTTCCGCCGTCTGGTCGCAACAGGATCACTTGCACGTTCCCAGTCACCTCCATCACGTCTGTACTCGAAGCCGTCGAGCTCATGGACGTGGTTGCCCTGAAGGCAGAGGGGACATTGAGCGGCCGGGGAGGGCGTGCGCGAGGCGAGTCCTGACGAGGTGTTGGACGCAGGGCCATCAGCGTTGTGCTCAAGCGTGTCGTGGTGCGCTCTTCCGAGTATGTCGGACCGCCGATATCTCGATCAGGAATGGAAGTCATTAAGGTACAGCGGGGTAGCAGGGCTCGAGAAAGCGCTTAGGGATGCAGCGCGAGCTCGGGCGGAAGACGCCGTCGCGCGACGCGTGCCGAACACTCGCCGCACGGAGCGCATCCATGCGGTCATTTGATGGGGAGCACATGGACGTCTTGGGCGATAACATGTCCCTATCTAAGGCGGTGCCGGGTGGCGTTAGGCCGGGTCGATCATATCAGCCTGTGGCGCAGGCCGCCGGGCGGCACAGGGGGAGGGGACTGGGAGGGGCGAGGCCAAAGGGCGCGCGAGCAACAGCAGGCCCGCGCGAGCAACAGCAGGCCCACGCGAGCAACAGCAGGCCCGCGCGAGCAACAGCAGGCCCGCGCGAGCAACAGCAGGCCCGTGCGTGGGCGACAACAGGCCCGCGCGTGGGCGACAACAGGCTCGCGCGTGAGCGGGGAGGTGAGAACACAGGATTCTTTAGGCAAATGAAAGGGGTCGTGGCGCCCGTGAAAGAAGAAATGATTCCCTTGAGGGGGGCATAGCGCCTGGAGCAGAGGGAAATGATTCCCTTGTGCCAATAGCGCCCGGGAGAGAGGAAATGATTTCCTATGGGGCTGACGCCAGGAGAAGGAAGACATGTTACATAACTCCATAACCCAAACAATGTGCTACCTCTTAACGGGCTTGTGGCTCAGCGGTAATGATGCCGCTGGGTTACAAAATCTTTATGCGACCGGGGGTTCAAATCCGAGCAAGTGCAGCGCATTTTTCAGGCGCTGAACCAGGGCTTACCACAGCCTGGCCTGGCTGAGCCGGGCAGCGCCATTTCCCCTAGGGAAATGGGTCCCCGTTCGGCCAACGGTCCATATATATATGTACGTACTAACATACATGCCCAGGCCACGTCCCACGTTTCCATCTCCGGTGCGTACCCCGGAATCCTGTATTCACGAGGCCATCCTGGTGCAGCCATGTCGTCTACCACTGTGAACGAGTCCTCGCGCTGATCCCAGCTGACAGAGAACCGGTCCTCGCAGATAGTCGGGTCGTTCACGAGCGCTGGCTCACCAAAGTAGCTCACAAAGCACGTCTGCACGAATTCGGCCACCTTCAGGCGATGTTCAGCAGCCCAGGACTGAGTATCCGTGTCGCTTTCCATGCCGTCTGAGGCCGCGTCCTCGCTAGGTGAGTCGCTATCGTCATCATACACTAGCGAATCAATAACGCGCATTATGCAGAAGTAGTTACCACGGACGTCCTCGTGTGTCAGGATGCGTGCGTTCTCTCGGTTGCCCGCGTGTATGCGGACTTCGTATCCCTCAGGTACGCCTTCCACTGTAATTGCTGACTCCGGGTCTTCTACCTCCGGGAGGGTCTGATCCACGTAGTTGCTGATCAGCGCACGAAGCCAGTACATAGCAGGATGGTCCCCATCCGGTGCGTCGCCCTGCGGGAACCCAGTCATGTAACACTGAACAATGCCGCGCTCGAGAATCCAGGCGTGCCATTCATCCATGACCATACGCTCCACCGACCAAGACGAGTGTCCAAGCGCGTTCTCAGGTACAATGTACGTGTCTACATGTCCCTCCGTTGCGAGCCTGTCATTGACGATGTAGTTCCGGCTGTGTTCAGCTGCCGGAGCAATCTCCCAGCGCTCTGGTGGTGCCATTCCAACCGCGTCAGCCCTGTACGGCGAGAAGAACGATGTAAACAACACGCGGATATACTCCATAGTGTCTTCTGGTGCCGCGTTTGCCCACATAGGGTCCGGGCGAGGCCCACTAATGAATGCCGACGCGACGCGAACCTCCGTGAAGACCTCCGAGTCGCGCGCCCGCGCCGCGAGAGACTCAATGTTCGCGAAGCGGATAGAGCTCGCACCAACCGCCGCGGTAGGTGCCTTTGCCGTCTTCCGTCTGGGACAGTTTCGGCTCTCATGCCCTGCCTCTCTGCAGTTGAAACAGCGCCCCTCCGCGCGCAGCCTGTCGTGCTCCTCGCGACTAAGCTGAACCTTGTGTTCACGAGGTGCGTCCTTCCTCCTATCGCGGTGGTTGTCCTTCTTCTCAGGCTTCTTTCCCATATTAGAACCCTCCGCACGCCCTCCGGCCGTCGTCGCCTGTGAGAACGACTGCTGCGGGCGCGCGTTCCGCTTTGGATCGTATGGCGTAGGGGACCGCGCGCGATTCGCGAATCGGCCCCAAGAGCGTCCAGGTACCTTCCCTTCAAACTCTCGACGTTCGAGGCGACGGCGTTCGTGCGCCTTCTCATGCCTCTCAGCGCAGAACACCATCTCCTCAAGCGAGCTGACCTCCAGATCAAAGCCCTTGTCTATGAGGTCGAAGCGTAAGTACTCATGTAACCCACTCCAGAAGTATCGAACCAGCTGAAGCTCCGTAACATCCGCAAATCGCGACGCAAGGTGTTGCATGTCCCGCACGAAATCGCGCACGGTACGGTTCCCCTGGCGCGCACTCTCAAGCTCTCCGCGCAGGCGTGACTTGTAGTCCGCCGGGAAACAGTAGTGAAAGAGCGCAACGAAAAGCCGCTTTATGGTCCACTCATGGCGTTGTTCCGCAACGTGACGCATGAAGTAGCGTTCCGCTGTTCCAGACAGGTAGCGGGGCATCAAGGCGAGTGCTATATCATCTGGGATTTCGCCTAACTCCTGCCAGACCGTGACATTGTACGCAAACGTGTCGAACTTATCCATATCCAGAGTCCCATCGTACTTGTTGGGCGGCGCGATATTCCTGTTCGAGCGGTCTACCGCGCGGCGGCGCTTCTTAGACGCACGCTTCTTCTTCTTTCGCTCATGCTCACGCCTTCGCTTGCCCTTAGAGCTGCTAGAACTCGAACGCGAATGCCCATTGTCACTAGGGGGGCCTGAACCAGGAGGTCCGCCTGACCCGCGCCCTCCATTGTACGTTGCGCCCGCACCCGAGACTGATTCTTCTGAATCCGACGACTCAGACGACTCATGCTCCGATGAGTGGGGAGAAGGTGAGCGCTTCAGCGACGGGGATTCGCGCCCGCCGACGTGATGACTGAACCACCCTCCGTCAGGAACCAGGGACGGCTCCCGACGATAATCCGCCAGGCCGGTTGGCACGCCTCGGCCAGGAAGGGGGAATGTGTGACCTCCGGTGTACGCTTGGCCCTTAGGCGGGCTGCGATCGTTTCTGTGGCCTCGTTCCGTGGATCCGCTCGGTTCAGCACTCGCATACCGGTTGAGGAAAGAGCGGACTTGTGGGTCCACGCTCTTCCCCTTCTCGTTTCGTGTCCAACGACGTGTTTCTGGTGCGTGCTTTACCTCTTCCACAGGCATCTCCACAATTACCGCGGCCACATTCACTGGTGCCAGCTCAGGCGTCATGCGGAAAGGATCATGGGTGAGTCGGTCTAATATCTTCTGCAAATGCGGATCAACAGAAGGTTTTACATCTATCTGAGGCACAGGTGCCCAATCCGGCAAAGGCCCAGGTCCATCTTCCTTCTCGGAGTCTGCAAACCAATCCGGAAAGCGCCTCGCTGGCTGTAGGTTCACCGGAGGCCTCTGCTTGTCCGCAGGCGGGCTTGGTGAGCGGCGTCCATGCCGTACCACCTTCCAGTTGTCGTGCCCACCCCCAGACTCACTGTCCGTGTTGTTCCCTAGATCCCGGAGGACTCCCTGCCCCAATAGCGGTGGCAGCGTCGCGAGGTATTGCTCCGCGAATGCCACACCGTCTCCGAGCGAGAACCCTGCTACTTTCCATCCAGGTGAGAGGGACATCTCATGCGCAGTCGTTCCAATATCCTTGCTGATCCGCGCGCCCTCCGCACCAGGCACGCCCTCGCGCGCATTCTCCGAAACGTGTGCATGCCTGCCCGAAATGCTATCATTGGTTGTGCTAATGCTGCGGTCAAGCGCGCGATCATCAAAGCGTGACGAGGCCGAGTTCTGCGTGTCGGAATCGCGAACATCCAGGCCAGGGGGCGCAGCAGAACTCCCGCGCGCCCCACCCCGGAGAGACGCAGCGTCGGAAGCGCGCTCAATCCACCCATCCTGTACGCCCTGCGCCACCGCCCGCGCCGTCTGGCGAGTAACCCGCCGCCCATCTGCGTGTTCCTCCACCATGCGACCGTATTCCCCCAGCCCCCACTTTACACCGAGCTCGAGGTCGGACTGTGCCGACGTTGAGATCGAGCGCATGTGTGCGGAGGTACTGCCGTAGTAGTCGCCCGGAATGATGTAGGGGTTGGTCAGCTCACCGTAGCCTTCCAGTTCCCTTGCGTTGCCATTTGTGTCGGTGTCGGCGAGCGCGTCAGCGGCCACCTCGCGAGAGGTCCGCCCGTTCAGAACGTTCTGTATGAATGACATGTCGTTTTTGAAATGTCCGTCCTACGGGTGATCAAGCCGAGGGGAGGATGAATAGATACGAAAAAAAATACTCAAAAAAATGTGAGGTCGCCACCTCGGCGTAGCGTCGAAGGTGTCGAGAGTGTCGAGAAGAGACGCTGGTCGAGGAGAGGCGAACACGGGAAGAGCGAGACGGCACACGAGAGTGAGTAGGAGACAGTTGTATCCCGAAAAGCTACCCACTACAGGTCGGCGCAGACGTCTATATATACGAGGTCGGGCCGGAACTGTATAGTAGGTGGTAACGTAATCAAGCCATCGTCCAAATAAACAAACACAGTGAGATCAACGAGAAGAGAGGGGAAGAGGGAGCGCCGGGAGAGTCCGGCACGAGCGGAACAGATAGAGGCTCGGCGCGCGCAGCAGAATGCCCGCGCGCGATCACGGAGGCCTCGCGTCGTGCTTGTATCGATGCGCGAGGCTCCGAACTGTTCCTGTACTTGGTGTGTGAGTCCCAGTCCTTACAAGCTGGCAGAAGGAGGAGAGCGCCCACCAGAAGGGGTTGAGGTAAAATTCACAGCGGTGTCGTTCCTGAGCAGGGGCGATGTCGTCTTCGTCCTCTCTTCAAAGGACGCCGCCCACTGGCTCCGCCGGGAGAAACCGTCAGCGTTCGCACAGGGGCTCGGAGCCTGGAGGAGATAACGCGAGCGTGGCAGACCGGTCATACACGGTTGTCGCAGAGTTCGTGCCAGCCCACATCGAAGCGGACGACGAAGACACCCGAAAGCAGATCGAGGACACCAACGGATTCGACCAAGGCGATCTCCGAGCGGTAGCGTGGATGTGGCCCCCAGCGAAGAGATACGCAGGCCAAAGGTACGCACACATGAGGCTGACATTTGCGACCGCAGATGCCGCGAACAAGGCGATCAAATCATGCGTCATTGCAGGCAAGAGATGTGCGGTGCGGAAGCTTTCGGAGGAACCCCTGCGTGCCTGCGCTGTCAAGAATACAGGGGGCATACAGCACGCAACTGCGACGCCCCCCAACGCTGCGCGCACTGCGGGGATTCACACCAGGTCCAAGACTGTCCGTTCGGGCGAAGCAGGGAGCACCGATTCTGCGTCCCTTGCAACTCCTACGACCATGCCTCGTGGGACCGCCACTGCCCAGCACTGCACGAGCGGTCAGGGAAACTTTTCGCCCGCAAGACCTCAGCGCAGTTCAAGTACTTCCTCACGGACGACCCCTCGACCTGGGTCACGCACCGGGAAGCGCTATCACAGGCATCGCCCCCGGGAACGAGCTGGGACATGGGCAACGAGGTCCTGGAGCAGATACGCAAGGCGGTGGAGGGTGGATACCGCAAGCCCTCGCAGAAGGAACGCGGCAAGATCTTCAGGCAGACTCGACTCGACGAAGTCAGACCCACTGTTAACCTCCCACAGAGCGTAGTCGACCCTCTCACATCAGGAAAACCTTAATGAGCTAATTAGCTCTAGGCCAACTAGGACTAGGACTATCGACTTAGCTATTCACACTAGCAGACTATGAAGAACTAGACATACTATTTGACCACTATCTCTTCACCTCTGGCAACTATCTGGCTAGTTGTTCTACTCTCACAGCTAGTGGATATAAATCTAATCTATTTGTACAGAGTCCAAACTAATGTCCATTCTAGTCTAACTAATTAGTGACCTAAGGCTGTTTGCAGATCAATCCGCATTTGAGCCGGATCCGAACCCACAGATCACAGCCCTTCCGGAGACTTGATCCAGAGCCGCACAAGTCAGATCCTCTGGAAGAGCCGGAGTCACAGGTCCGGCTCTGGCTCATTCGTGGCTCGATGCGCCAATCCACACATAGGATACAGGTTTAGACAAATATATTGATTGCATCCCATTAACAAAAGTACTAAGGGGACCCGGGACATGGGTGAGACAGGTGACGCGGGGACAAGAGTGGGTGAGGTCCTGGTGGGCGACGCGGGTGAGTGACGGCGATGTGGGTGCGAGGCGAGCGGGCGAGGGCCCGACGTGGGCACAAGCCAAGGGCGCGGAGGGCAGAGGACTTGGATGGCGTGGACGAGACAGGTGAGATGCAGTGGACGTGGTGGACGCGGGCGAGATGTGGGCGAAGTGGATGAGGTGGGAGATGGTGGGCAAGGGCGACGTGGCGACGTGGCGCGGCGGGCGACGCGGGCGCAGTGGGTGAGACGGGCGAGGTGGGGCAAAACCGAGGGTCAAGGCCGGGGCAAGTCGCAGACGACGCGGGCGAGGCCAGCCTGTGCAAGACGCGGATGACGCGGATGGCATGGCCGAGGCGGGTGACGCCAGCGACGCGGGGGGCTACGGGTACGGGCGACGCGGAGCAGGCGGAGGGACGTGGGGGAGGCGGGCGAGGTGGGTGCGGGCGACATGGGAAATGCAGAAGACGCGAGGGTAAGAGGGAGTAGGTGAGGTGATGGGCAACCCAGATGAGGACAAGGCGGAGAGGACGACGCAGAGAACGAGACGGATGTGGGCGACGTGGGCGCGAGGGCGCGTGCACGAGGGTGGACGACGTGGAGGGTGGACGACGCGGGGGTGGACGACGCGGGGGTGGACGACGCGGGGGTGGACGGCGCGAGGAGGGCCATGGCGGGGGGCGAGGGCCACGCGGAGGAAGAGGGCAAGGTTGGCAAGGACGCAGGGAGCGGAGGGGAGAACGCACCAAAGGAGTTTGGGGCCGCGGGAACTCACCGCGACCCCACAAACAGCCCTGCGCGCGCGCGATGACGCCGCTTGGATCACTGTGGGCGCTGGTCGACTTGCACACCTGGGGAGATGCTCCGGAGCGCGTTCCCGGGCGAGCTCGAGGGCGTCGTCGCGCAGGTGAGGTGGGTGATACCCGGGCGAGACGTGGGCAACGCACCCAAGGTGGGTGGCGTGGGTGCGGGACGGGAAATGCGGGCAAGGCAGGGGGCGAGACCCAGGCGAGTCGGCGAGGTGGGCGACGCAGGATATGGAAGCGACGCGGGATGATGCAGGCGAGGTGGGCAACGCGCGCGAGGCGGGCGAGACGGGTGACGCGGGGGATGGGCACGAGATGGGCGAAGTGGGTGAGCGATGCGAGCGCGATGCAGACGTGGGCGATGGGGGTAGACGGAAGGGGAAGAGAGGATGTGCAGGAAGAAACAAAGAGCTCACCGGAATGAAGAACTATTTTGTGGCCAGCGCCCTTGAGGGTGTCCCCGGGCGAGAAGATCGGAGGGAGGTGGGGAGCTGGTGGGCAAGTGCGATGGTGAATGCGTGCTTGTACGCATGGGGCACAGGTGGTTGGCGTGGTCGGCATAACGGAGGTTGATGCAGAGCAACTGGGAGGCGGTGAGGCAGAAGGAGAGGTCAAAGAGGACGAAAAAGGAGACGACGATGAACGAAGACGACAAGATGGCCATGCTGGCAGCGGCAAGCGCCAGAGTCCACGCGACGCGTGTCCATTCCCACGCATGACGCCCCCGAACTTCGAAGGCACCTCCGCGTCCAAGGCTCCGACTGCCAGCGCATCGTCCTCATTTCACCCGCGTCTCTCCTCATCTCCTCTGATTCTAGCTCTTGTCGCTATTGTCACGTTCTGCTCTTCTCCCTCCTCCTCCTCCATCCCGCTCTCCAGCCGTGCCACTCTCGCCGGCCTCGCCGTCGGCACCTCAGGCCTCTGGTGCCACCGCCCGTAGGTAAGCATCCTCCAACGGCTCCCTGCGCCCATGACGACGCTCACAGTCGGCCTCATCAAGACTGTGTACAATGCCGCGTTCCTCGTTCTGACGAGTCGGCCTTTCGCGGCATAGCAGCTTGCAGCCGCGTTCCGCCTGTCCGTGGGCGTGGCCACGGCCGCGCGCGCGAAGGGGCTCCTCCCTTGCGAGGGGACCTTGACGGAGACGCGGACGAGGGAGGGAGGCGTGCTCATGAGCTGGGACGTCAGCTCGGACGAGCAAGGGTAGGAACGTGACGCGAGGTCGCCAAGGTCGTCCGGTGAGTACCCTGTTCTCTTGGGATTTCGGCGAGAATAACGATCTCACATGCGACCATGGCCATGCGTTCGCCAACTGCCTCGTCTGCACCTCTGGAACCCATCAAGGAGATGCACGACTACAACGGCAACGTCGCCAACCACGTCGCCATGGACCAGTTCGTCCTACGGTACCTTTGCTCGTCCATGTACGCCACATTCTCACCCGCCTCTTCACGCAGGTTCGGCGTCACCCCTCGTACGGATGCGCCCGTCATCCACCGCCCTTGTCCCACACTTCAGCAGGCACGACACGAGTGGGAAGCTCAAGACGATTCACCCCCGCAGCAAGGCCCTCATCGACGGACTGCTGCCGTCGCCTGCTGAGGGTGTGTTTTCATGCCCAATGTTCCCGCAAGAATCGTCGCTGACCACGTCAGACGCACAGGTACTACGAGTGGCAGATGAAGGGCAAGGAGGAGTGCGGCGCCTCGCCGAGCGCGCCAACGGGAAGCCCCTCCTCGCCGGCTTCTGGGACCGCGTTGAGCTCAAAGGCCCGTCCCCTCTCCGTTCATTTCCTGTGCTCATTTGTTCACCTAGTGGGGTTCTGTGCTGGCCATCTCGGGTTGCCCACGCCGCCCATCCTGCCAGCGCCACGGCCACCTTGTTCGGGTGATTCGCATCTCCTGCCTCACCTGTATCGCGCCCCCATCACTTACCTCGCCCCGTTCAGGCATCTCGCTCGCATCGCCCCGTTCGCTGCTGCGTCACCCGCCTCTCATCTGCGTCGCCCGAATCGCCCACATCACCCACCTTGCCCGCTCGCCTGGTTCGCTCTCGACTCACCCGCGTCACCCATGTCGCCTGCCTTGCCCTTGCGTCGCCCATGTCGTCTGCACTGGGCAGTACGGTATCCCTTAATAAGTAGTGCCGGTGTCGTTGCTGGTACTAGTCTGTACTTTGTACGTTGTAGTATGATCAATATAAATATGTTTCCCTCTCTTCCATGTTTGTGTGACTTGAACCTACTTTCCCGTCTATCTCGCAACTAGCCACTCTATTCAGCTGTCTACTTCACAGCTAGGTGCTCTATTCACCCATCTACCCCATAGATAATGGGGCTAGTGATCTAATTAGTTCAGGGGTAAAATAATTAGCACTAATGAACTATCCGCATCTAGTCAGCTAATTAGCGCTATTTTAGATGACCTAGAGCTAATTTAGTCTGCATCGATTTGCCGGGGTCAGACCGTAGCTCTCCCGTGTTCGATTAGTCAGCCATAAATTGATCTCCGACGACGCGTCGGATCTATACACAAACGCGTCGACGCGTCGCGCGGCCTAAGCGCGCGTTCCCTCATTTGCTCCTTCGCCCTCAAACCCGCACACACCTTGCTTATAGTATGCGCACCTAATGAACTGTACACCCATCGACTCGCGCGCTACCCCGTCAGCGGTCTTCGCGTTCAACTCGACGGCTGGCCGCGCACTGTGTCGACAAATCATCTCAGCGCGTTTCGGATACGATCCCCACGACTACCAGCTCGACGGCGTGACGAGAGCTCTCGACGGCCTCGACATCCTCGCGATTACACCTACAGGGTCCGGAAAGACAGGCTTTCTCACGATGTACCTCGTCGTGATGCAAGCTGTGATGGAGCAGCCGCTGTTGCTGCCTTCACCTCCCTCAAGACATTTCCAGCATCGGGCCGCTATGGTCGTCGTGTGCCCGACAATTGCGCTGCAGGTTGATATGGTGAGTCCATCACATCGATAATAATGTGTACGCAGACCCCTGAACGTCCGTGGCAAGGCCACTAAGTTCACGGCTTGCGGTCTCCGCCCGATAGTCATCAACAAGGATGCATTGACTACGGCGCGCCCTCGGAACCTTTGGGACGACGTCCCCGACAGCGATGTCCTACTTGTTGCACCCGAGCAGCTCGACAAGAAGGGCTTCGAGCGTCTGGTGAACAACTCGGCTTACAAGATGCGCGTCGTTGCGCTCGGAGTCGACGAGGCACATCTCCTCAACACGTGGGGGAAGACATTCCGACCAGAGTTCGAGAAGATTGGGCCGACGCGCATGCGTTTCAACCAGCCGGTTGTTATCGCTCTTACGGCCACCCTCCGTGCCGGTCCACCTCTCCGGGCTGTCTACGACTCGCTCGGGCTGTATGAAGGACCCAGGTTTCATCTCATCCGACGCTCCAATGCCCGCCACGATCTCCGCATTATCATCCGCCTCATGAAGTCGACTGTCAATGCCACGGCCTTCCCCGAACTGGAATGGGTTCTTTCAGCCCGCCGCAATATTCTCATCTTCTGTCGCACACTCAAAACATGTCACGACATCATGTCCTACCTCGACTTTCAGCTCAAGTGCCATGCTGCGACCGGTGACGAGTTGGCTCCCCGTGTTGAGGTCCGGTCCCACAACGGACTGAACTGGCCTTCGTACAACGACACTACCCTCGACCACCTGCGTTCCGGGAGCGACAACATGTTTTCAGTGGTTCTGGCGACCGACACGCTCTCTGTTGGGATTGATGTCGCATGAATACACCACGTTGTTGTGTTCGAACGGGGACTGCCTGTCGACATGGGGACGCTGATTCAGCAGGCGGGGAGAGCACGCGACGGACGTGAGATGAAGTCATGCCTTGTCATCTACCTCCCACGGAACGCGCTCAATGTATGTCAAGCCGCTCTTCCCGGTGTATCTGTGGGCGACGTCAACCTTCAAAACCGGGCCGCACAGCTCTCCAAGTCAAAGGGTGGCAAGAAGGCGAAGAAGGCACCCTCTGCCGGCGATGAGGCAGTAGCTTCAGTTGATGAGGGTGTGGCACAATTCGTGCTGGCCTCTTGCAAGGTCGATGCAATCGACCAGCTATTCAGCAACCCTGATCAAGACACCCCATGCACTTGCCGTACATGTCAAAATCGTCCACCGGTGCAGCGTGTGCAACCGTGTCGGTGCAGTGGGTGCTTCCCTGATGAGCATACCGAGCCAGTTCTGGAAGGTGAGGTGACCAAACCTCGTGATCATTGGAATGCTGACACAGAGACGGCACTGCAGATGATACCGATACAAAGCGGAAGCAAGGGACAGCGCTCAAGGCACCCAAGGACAGTACACCTCGTGTGAAGGTGACAAAGAAGATGCGTGACGACGCTCGAGTCAAGCTCTTCTCCCTTCGCCGATCATTCCGGCTCCGTGTTGATGAACACCTGGAAGACTTCATCACCGCAGAGATACTCTGCCCTGATGACGTCATCGAGAGCATCCTCCATGATCGCAACGTCTTTGAGATCACTGACGAGACATCACTGTGGCAGACTGTTGGTGGTACACAGGAGTACCTGGAAAAACACAGCCAAGAGCTGCTTAATGTGATCTCAGGCCTGCGAGAAGAGTTCACCCAAATCCACATGAAGCGCATGGCCGACACAACAGCAAAGCGCAAGCAGACCACACTTGAACGTGCCGCATTGAAGGCCATAAAGCCAGCTCAGGAGGTGGATGCAACTGAAGGCTCTAGTAGTGATGACTCTGTCGAGTCAGAGTTCTCTACGTCGGATGAGCACGATCTCATCTTGCCTGTAAACGAGTCGGATTCTCCTGAGGTCACATCAGCTCGAGGTTGGGGCCTGACAGCCATGCCAGGTACATCGAAGATGAGATTTCATCCACCCAGGTATATGTTCTACTCCATCTGCATAACAAACTACTGATCATCGTCATTGTCTAGTTCGCTGTCCGACAAACCATCACCATCCACCTCAAAACCAGCTTCCGCTTCAGTCTCAATCTCATCCTCATCTTCATCAGCCAATCCCAGCATCTCCCGTGCATCGACCCCAACGTCAACGTCTCCGTAGACCAGCTCCCCATCTCGTATCTCCCACATGGGTACCGAGTGCGTACCTGTGCTGCCGTCTCTGGTGTGACGGTTGTGACCACCTACTGATATGTACTGAATCATCTCCTCAGCTGTCTCCGGCAGATTGTCTTCCTCGTCAGAGTCATCCGAGACGTCGTTGACGTCGAGATGTTCGGGGTAGGAAATTGGAGAGGTGCCGGATTCCGGGACCGTGGGATGTGTCAGTGGGATGGGAAGGGTTCCTCGACGTCGTGTCGTATCATCAACCCACTTCTTCACCTTGCTCTTCTGTAGCTTGATTACACCCCGTTGGAAGTCGCTCAGCTTGGTGTTCTTGTCGGTATTGTCAGGGGTAAGTGTGCGGCCTGGGCAGCGGAGGTGGAGTTCATGTCGCTTGAACTCCTCCAGAAGGATCCGGACGTCCGCGTCACGTTGAGGGCTGGTGTGACGGCCAGAGCGTGCTGCAAGACCGACACCCTCATTGAGGTCGTCGCGTAGGCGAGACAAGTGGTGGAGGTTACGAGAGACCACATCGCGGAGGAAGCTGCCGTCATACTCAGCCCCTTTCCGCTCTGCAATCGCCTGAAGGAGACGGTTGAAGTACTCCTGTATGAGATCAGACGCGGAGAAACCACCTGGTTTGCCTTTCACATTGACGACCAAGCTGGCGAGGATAGTGTAGCGTAGCTCGGGGCTGGACTCTAGCTCGAGTGAGACAATGAACTCGAGGAGGTATGTTGTATAGTTGCTGTGACTTGAGCCCGCAAACGTGAACAACATGATCTGCGAGGGCACAATCAGCACCACGTCACACGTCGCCGAAGTAGTATGTGCAATGTGCACTACGAACTGCACATCGCCACGTTTGACGCGCGTTGTGGCGCCCAAAGTGCTCAGCTCGTCGAGCTTGCTATGCTCATTGCACCCGAAGCATGCAGCGTCCCGTGTGTGCCGCTGCAACACGCGGCATGTCCTATGTGTGCGGCGCATTGAGCCCGACACATCCTACATGCGTGGCGGCTCGGCGCACCTGACGTGCACCGCGCGGCATGCCCGGCTGTAGACGCGCCGCGCGCGCGCGTCGCGTCATGCGGCGTGCGGTGTGTCCTCGCAACCCGAAGCGTGCGGCACGTTTTTCCCAACACATCCTGCATGCCCAGCAGCTCAGCGCACCCAACACGCACCGCGCAGCGTGCCCGACTGTAGATGCGCCCCGCGCGCGCGGCCACCGCGGCACAGCTCACTGCGGCGCTCAATGTGTCCCGGCTAATGCAAGCACGTGACCCAACCCGTACTCTCACCCGCGACAAGATGAAAGTACGGGTGGGTCTCGGATGGCCCGAGGCTTGCCCGTAAGGATGATCCCTAAGTAGAAGATAAACACGTACTTTCATGCCCTCGTACACACGACCTACATCACCCTCCGCAATGGCGTACAGAAACTCGCGAAGCACAATGCATTCACGCATGAAATTGATGGAGTCTGCAAGGACTCGGTCTCCCGAGAGGGGGGCTGGGGGTTTGCTGGGCGACTTCTTGCTCTTGCGAGTTTTCACCGATGTATCGGCCCGAGACGGCACTCCAGGACGAACCCCTCCGGACGAGCTGCTGACCTCTGCTGAAACCACGGTCTGAGATGGCCATGGTGTACCTAAAGGAATGCAGCGGCAGTCTGGCCCACATCTGGCGCTAGCCTGATGGATGGTGGAACCTTCAAACCAAGTTCTATTAGTTGCTGGCGCAAGGAAGGGGTGATTTGTCTTACCTAAGGGCACATTGGGAGACGTTATCCCAAATTCAGGAGCCAAGATACTGGAGGAGGGTGTAGGGGAAGAGGGAGAGACGGTGTGCAAGCTTGATGCGGAGTGCGGTTCTGCTGTCGATGTCGATGACGTCATCAGGTCTCCCACCCTCTCGGAAACGGCCGTAATGTCATCACTTCGAGGCTCGAGGGCTCTATCTGCAGCCAGGTGAGTGCCAAACATATGGTAGACTTGTTGGGCATCCTGCATCAATGCCTCAAAAGTCGGTGCAGTGCCCATACTCGAGAAGTAGGAATATATGTCGTCTGTACGATAAAAGACCCTGTTTATCCTCCATTAAGGTTGCTATTCACCTAGTTGCATGTACAAACTCACCGGAAGCAGTCGAGGATGTGTGCATCATGCACTGTTTCCACAATCTCAAGTGCCTGATTGAAGTCAGGTTTCTTGAGATTCGATGGGGGGCGCCGATGGAGCTTTGCAGCTCCGAAGCCGAGCTTGGAAGGATCACGTGATACGAGGCTGTCCCAGTGTGCGCTGAAGATACGGCTGAGGTCGGTCCATGCAGTGTGCCACGGAGCGAGAACAGGTTTGATGAGCTGGAAGCTCTCGAATGGGTTGTCGTGGAACCGAAGATAGTTCTTCAGCTGCACGATCTTGTCGTAGGTGAGCCATCGCCGACGCATAGAACCAGCTTGCGGTGGTGGCTCGTCTTCTCTTGACCAACTTGACCTAGGAAATCTTCCAGCGCGTCCTTCAGCTCACGCGTGACAGTCTCGTTCTTCGCGCTCGTTCCAAGCGGGTGCAGTGGTGACGCGACCGGATCGAGCGGTATCTTCTTTGCCTGAGTGTGATAGCCTGTTGAGACGTTGGTCTTGTACTTTTTGAGCTCAGGGATACGGTTGATGAGAATGCGCAGGAGAGTGAGCACACCCACTCTCGCAAATGTTCCTGATTCAACAAATTTGAGAAGCTGAGTGACTGTCACTGATGCGCGGAGATTTGCAGCCACGCGCGATTGCTTGTCGTCATAGTCAAGAGCGGATGGGGAACGTGAGAGAGCTCCACGTATGTAGCCGCCATGCCGATGTTGATCCCGTTCGCGCGGCCGACGCAGGCGTCCCCGCTGCTTCAGATAATGTTGAACGTTGTCCGTGATAATGCAGATGGGGTTGTTTGGGTCGGCTCCAAGTTCCCGTAACGTGTCGCTTCTTTCAGTGACATCTTCTCAAGAGTACGTCGGATGGTTGAGTATGTCGGGGTGATGCCAAGACGGGACTGGTAGGGGTAGATGTCTGACGGTGTTGAGAAGGCAAACTCGAGGAAACCGAAGGAGAGAGGAGCGAGGTTGGCACGATTGGAGCGCGAGAAGTCGAGGGTCGTGATCACGTTGCATACCACCTGCCGTTGCCTCGTGAGTGGAAGCTCAGCTGAGTTGTAAATAGAAAGAACTTACCAGCTCTGCGGGACGATTCCGACGAGCGTCATCTGCGTCCGTGACGCTCTTGGCACCAGGTGCACGCTCCGCAATGGAGAGCAGAAGCTCCCAGAGCAGCGGCTGTTGGGTCTTTGTGATAGCTGATACAGATGCGAGGGTTGTTGCACCTATGTCGGCCCACTGAACTTCGGAGGCGTCCGTAGGATTGTCACTCTTCCGCAGCTTCCGTGAAGCGTGCAAGCCGTTTTGAGGCTTAATAGCCTGTTCAGCCTCGCTAACGAGTGTCTTCTCCACGAGGTGTACGGCGAACCGCATAAGTGCAACCCGCACCGGGTCCGCCGCAGTCTCAGATTTTGGTGGGAGGGGCCATCGGGGACTTGACGATCGCCCATCCGAATGGCGCATCCACAGGTCGAGGATGCTTTCTGGCGTACCATTTGGATCCTTATCCTTCCCTTTCAGGAACCTCGACACAACCTGAGCGTGACGCTGGGTACGATGTGCATTGCGCCCGAACATCGAGAATACAGCGTGGAGAAACCCGCCCAAACTCCAGTGTACATCGTCAAGGATGCTATTCAGAACGATGGCCAACTTCTCGTGAGGCTCTGAATCCTTCCGCACGGGCTTCGGCTTCTCGTTGATGAGTGGGGAGGGGTGAGGGAGGTACCCGCATGTCGTGCAGTAGTGGTGGTGGGGCAGGCCGGGCAGATCTTGGACGGGCTGGACCATGCAGACCGCGAAGGAGGGCGAGGATGGAGGCGCATAATAAGGGGGGAGTGGTACGTTCTCCTTGCGTGCTCGCTTTTCTGCTTGTCGCGAAACTGCACCATCTCCGAGGGGCCGTTTCGCAGCTGTTCCGGGGACTATTGAGGTCCGGAAATGCGAGAAGAGAGCAATATAAATACTCACATGGTGGCCGCGATGAGGGCTCTGCCGCATGGTGCTGAGAAAGCACCTGACCTTCGTGTGCTCGCTTTCTTGCGGTCCGAGGGGAGCGGTAGGGGTGGACGCAAGAGGTGAGGGCGAGAGTGCGAAGGATCCGAAGGGCGAGGGTGAGGGTGAGGGCGCAAGCAGAGACGGCCGAGGCGTGACTGGTGTAGAGGGCAGCGAGGGGTCGAACACCGCATGAAAGGAGCTGAAGGTGGATCCACTTTCAGGCGTTGCAACCTTCCAGTGGTCCCGTCTTGAAGCCATAGAGTAGAACTCAGGGAGGGAGCGCGCGCGAGCGACGCATCGGACCGTCGGAGCCTGCCGGAGATCTCTCGGTTGTCGATCTATGCTGTCTAAAGACATAGTTGCTATATAAGGTGTGCGATCCATCGCACATGTTCAAACTCCGCCAGAAAATGAAGAGCTGCGGTATCGTGGGCGCATTTGCAAGCAGACCTTCGTTAGAAGGTTGGCCTAGGGGAGACTAGAGCTAATTAGCTCGTTGAGGTTTTCCTGATGCACCACCGGACCTCAATGATTGACACACCTACTGACCCGACAACCCGCCGACTCTGTATTCTACAACAAAACATCAACAAATCGTGGGATGGCCAAATCGACCTCTTCCAAGACATCGACCCCAAGAAATTCGACATAGTGGCGCTTCAGGAGTAAGCCTACAACGTCGTCGACCAATCTACAGCAAACCACTTCTGGCGACCAGCCTTCCCCACTCTCCCGGACCCGGACGCCTTCAAGAGGTGTCGGGCAGGTATCTATGTTAACAAGTCTATTTCCACTAATTCCTGGTCCCCCATAGAGGTCGTCTGCCCCGATGTGGCGGCGATCTCACTCGATGTGGGGGACCGCGTTGTCCATATCTTCAATCTCTACGTTGATCAGGCTAATAGTAACGCTCTCACCCTCACAGAACACGCAGCACGCAAGATCCTCCGAGACGCCGAACGCGCCAACGACCAGCGTAATCAAGAGTTCATCTGGCTAGGAGACTTCAACCGCCACCAGCCACACTGGGACGACGAGGCCAATGCGCAGCTGTTCACGAAGAAGGCGCTGGAGGCGGCAGAGGCCCTGCTGGAGCTCACGCGGGACTTCCACCTCATCCAGACGCTCCCACAAGGCATCCCGACGCTCGAGGCATCCAGCTCAAAGACGCTCACGCGACTGGACAACATCTTTTGCTCCGATACCCTGTTTCACGACGCGCTAATATCCTGCAACACAGCACCCCATCGCCGCCCACTATGTGCAGACCACTTCCCGATAATCACCACACTCGAGCTCCCAGTAGCGCGCGCGGAGTTCGCTCCACGTCGTGACTTCCGCGAAGTTGACTGGCAGGAGTTCGAGGAGGAGCTAGGCAAGCAGCTCGCACTGGATGAACCCAGCAGGGTCATCAAGAGCACGGACGAGTTCGACAAAGCACTTACCAAACTGATGACTACGATCTACACGACCATTGAATGCTGCGTACCACTACGACGACCATCGCCTTTCACAAAACGATGGTGGACGAAGGAGCTCACAAACATGCGGCGCGAGAAGGAGAGACTGGGGCGATGGTCACACAAGCGACGGGGCACACCGGACCACCCGGTGCACGCTGAGCATTGTCACTTCCGCAATCGGTACACTGATAAATGCCGCGCGACTAGGAACGAGCACTGGATTGCGTGGCTGGAAGGCCTCGACGCGTCCACCATCTGGCAGGCGAACAGACTGCTGCGCAAGGACCCTTCGGATGGGTCCGCAGCGCGTATCCCCTCGCTGACAGTGGAAGACGAGGACGGAACACTATGGTCGCTCCGTACCAACGAGGAGAAGGCAGCGGAGTTCCACCGCACCTTCTTCCTCCCAGAAGGCCCAGCCCCTGACCAGCAAGACGAATACCCACCAGCAAAGTTCCAATGGAAGAAGCTCACCCGCCAACAGCTCCAACGCGCCATCGACGCGACCACGGCGTTCAAGGCCCCAGGGCCGGACGGTGTCCCCAACGAAGTATTCAAAAATTGCTCATTTCTACTCATCCCATTCCTCCTCCCGCTCTTCCAGTCTACCTTCGACCTCAAGTATTACCCGCAAGCGTGGCGCGAGTCTACAACCGTCGTCCTCAAGAAACCGGGGAAGCCCGACTATACTAAGGCCAAGGCGTGGCGGCCCATTGCACTACTCAACTGTATTTCTAAGCTCCTGACCAAATGCGTCGCTGACATCCTCTCGTTCGAAGCGGAACGGCAAGGCTTGGTAGCAGGATCGCAGTTCGGGGGAGAGCCGGCCGCTCAACCACCGACTCACTCCACTTCCTCACCAAATTCACCAAAGATGCGTGGCGGCGAGGGAACGTGGTCACTGGGCTCTTCCTCGACATCAAAGCGGCCTTCCCTCGGCGGTGCCCTCACGACTGTACCACAACATGCGACGCAGAGGCATCCCTGAAACCATTGTCGACTGGCTACGTGTCAAACTGGAAGGCCGCACTACCCGACTCAGCTTCAATGACTTCACCTCTGAGTCACTCAACATCGTCAACGGCATCGACCAAGGCTGCTCCGGTTCCGTAATCTTCTACATCCTGTACAATTCTGATCTACTTGACTGCGCAGTGACGACAAACGGCGAGCGCGGCCCGGGCTTCATGGACGACGCCTGTTTCCTCGTGGAAGCGCGCCGGTTCAAGGGGGAGAATGGGGAGACGGGAACCCACGAGAAGATCGCCGCACTGCTGACGAGAGATGGCGGAGCCCTCCAATGGTCACACACTCACAATTCGGAATTTGAGATGGGCAAAACGGCTTGCATTAACTTCAAGAGGAACCTCAAGAAAACAGAGCGCGGACCGGACCTGGAGCTACCGGACGGCACAGTCGTGCAGGCCGTCCGGGTCCACCGCTTCCTGGGCCTCCTGGTCGACAGCACCCTACGCTTCAAAGAGCATGCGGCTCTAGCGCGATCCAGGGGCCTGGCACTCCTGGCCGTCTTTGGGCGACTGGCGAAGGCACGGCGGGGGGTCACCACCGAGCTACTGAGGCAAGTGTACCTCGGGGCGGTGATCCCAGCCCTGCTCTACGCAGCGGACGTATGGTTCACACCCATTCGCGCGCTCCCGGGCCAGAAGCGGCGCCACGGCTCAGTCGGCTTCCTTAACCTCCTCGACCCATCCACCGGCGATTCCTCCTTCTCATATCCGGCGCGATGCACTCCACAGCCACGGACGTGCTCGAGGCTCACCTCAACATCCCACCCCTGGAGCACCTCATTGACAAAGCTTGCCAGCGCGCCTCTATCCGCCTCCGCACACTCCCAGCGTCGCACCCTCTCGCCGCGCACGTCGCACGCGCCAAGAAAACGTTTGTTAAGACCCACAGATCCCCGATGCACGAAATCCTACACGCCTACGCCCACGCGCTGCCAGAGGCACCCCCGGAACGCATCGCGCCAGCCCGCATCCACCCCAGATGGCGCCCACTCCACCGCACCAGCATCGCAGCAGACAAGAAGACCGCTCTGACGGAGGAGGAGCACTGGGCCACACGCGCAGGCCTGCGGGTCTACTCAGACGGATCGGAGGTCGACGGGGGAGTGGGTGCGGCGGCGGTCCTGGTCAGACCGGGTCGCCGCCCGCGATACCTACGTTTCCACCTAGGGCCGGCAGAGGAGCATACCGTCCCGGAGGCGGAGACGGTAGGCATCCTGCTGGGCCTCTACCTCATTTGGCAGGAACGGCACACACCCGCAAAGAGGGCGTCGATCGCACTAGATGCTAAAAGCGCGATTGAAGCAACCACCGGACACAAGTCCGGCCCGGGTCGTTACCTCACGGACGAGGTCCTCAAGGCGATACGGCACCTGCGCAAGGCGCGACCAGAGTGCAAGATCACGCTCCGATGGGTGCCGGGGCACGTAGAAGTGACGGGTAACGAACTGGCAGACATCGCAGCAAAGGAAGCCGCACATGGAAAATCGTCACGACTCACCAGCCTCCCTCCCGCCTCCGACGCCGCCCCCTCCCTGCAAACGCGTCGAAGATGAAGTCCGTCTACGTAGACAGCCTCCAGTCCGCGATAGCAAAGACGTGGACGGAGTCGAAAAGGGGCCGCAAGCTCGCCGTCATTGACCCATCCCTCCCATCCAAGTTGTTCCTCAAACTGGTGGAGGACCTCCCCCGCCGTCACGCGGCAGTTCTGCTCCAGCTCCGGAGTGGCTGCGTGCCGCTATCCTCTCACCTAGCCACTATCGGCGCCGTTACCTCCGCGACCTGCACTTCGTGCGGGAGGGAGGCTGAGACGGTCTCGCACTTCCTCCTCCGGTGCGAGACCTTCTCGCTCGCGCGCGCAGTCCATTTCGCGCCCCTCCCCCGGACCGCAGGTCGCTCGCGCACCTCCTCGCCTTGCCGAAGGGTCTCCGGCCCCTCTTTGGCTTTCTGGAAGAGACACACTGCCTGTTCTTCCGTTTCGGGAGCTTGCGTTACCCAGAGCCAGAGGACGAGCCGGACCCTCCGGCATGAGGAGTTATTAATTAGGTGAAAAGACGACTTCTCGTACGCGACACCGCTGATCACTTGCCCCCCATCCAGCCACCCCAGCGCGAGAAGACACCCGCGTGAAGACGCCCCACGACCGGTGCAGACGCGAAACCAAGCCTGGCCCCACTGCAAAGTTTCCCGGATTCCCTTTCTTTCCGCTACTATACTACTACTGTACCCATACTATACGCACTCGGTCTCTCTTTCTCACTCCCCACTCATACACACACCCCGAGCCCCACAAGGTTCACTGGCACGCCGGCTGACGCCTGCCGGCAAGTTTCGGTCCGCTGCACCTTCGGGATCCTTCCCGAGGGAGCATATGCAAAGACGACGCTCTCCATTGTTCTGGGATACACTACGTACGAACTCACTGTATGTTATGCCTACCATAGGGCTCCGCCCTCGAGGGCAATAAACAAGGATCCAAAAAAAAAAAAAAAAAAAAGACAATTGAGGACAGCAGGCAGCTCGCGTTGCTGTCGATGTCACGCGTCTGCTCTGCACAAATCGCCGGTGTAATCAAAGACCGGCGGAACGACCTCGTCGCCGATTCCCTTGTGGATTTTTGCCCCAACCTGCAACACCTCACGATTGACAACAGCTTGTGGCTGCCCTTGCTCGCACACTTCCCGCGTCTCAAGACGGTTCACTGCACCTACGGCGTTATACCGCACATCGAGGACCTGGAGAGCATGGCCACGTATCCCGCACTGGAATCCCTCTCGTTCCACCTCTACCACGCAACCATCTACTACCATTCCGAGCCGCCGCCCCGACGTCCGTTCTGCCTCCCGTTCCTCCACACGCTCGCCATCCACTCGGACCCATATGTAGCGCGATCGAGATGTTCGCCTTCGTGCGCTTCCCCGCGCTCCGCACGCTCTCCTACACCTTCGACCCCCGCCTCTTCGAGAACGGCATCGACGTCCCGCTGGGGGCCATCGCCGCTGCGTACTCGCACCTCGCCACGCTCAAGCTCACCATGATCCCCTGGGCGGAACTGGCACGCCAGATCACGCCCTTCTACTCACCGACCCCACCGCGGGTGAACACACGCATGGCCTTGTCCGTGCGCCTCGGGGCGGTCCTGGCGCACCTCGCGCCCATTCTGGACCTGCGCGCGCTGCACCTTACCGTGCAGGGTGAGCGGTTTGGCTACAGCGACGATGACCTCCGTGCGGTCGCGACGGTGTGGCCTCGGATCGTCGAGCTCCGGATCTCCGTGAACGGCGCACTAGTCGAGGGCGAGGGCGAGGAGGTGGCGACGCTCGACGGTCTCGCGGGGCTCGCGCGCGGTGTTCCGGAGCTGCGCGTGCTGCACGTCCCGCGTGTCGCGCTCTCGCGGGGCTCGCGCGATGTTGTGTCTGTCGAGCCGCACCGCGCTCTGCACGACCTCAAGTTGGGCCCGATAGAGATGCAGGAAGAGCGGGGAGACGGGAAGGGGAGCAGGAGGTGCGCGAGTTTCTCCGGATGTTATTCCCAGCTGCAGGACATAGAGTCGAGGTCCGTACAGTCTGGTGAGGGGTACGCGTGCTGGGAAATTGTGGGCATTGACGTCAGGCTCCTACCCAGCCGTCGGGGAGAGTTGAGCGTCCCGGCGCCGAGCGTGTCCTGCGCCTGGCGGCGCGGCAAGCCCTGCGG